GACAAAGTCTTCGCTGGAAATGTTAGACACTTGACACAAGTCTCATCGACTTCATCAGCTACGTCCTTTGTGAGTTGCCCAAAGCATTTGCCAGCGAGATCATTCCGCAACAGTTGCTGCTGGCCACAGTGACGATGCGTGAATTCGAACACAACGACATCCATCATCGGATCCCAAGCACACTATATAAGTATTAATGTTCAGCCTTGGGGCGGACGAACCCAACTGATCATTCAAAAACCCAACAACATCGTTGGTAAAAAGCAGCTGCCAATGGTTATTCAGTTTGTAGACCGAATAATCATTCTGAAAACCCAACAACACATTGGTCAAAGCAACAGATGTGTTCGCTCTCAGACAGACGTGTCCAGAGAGTGGCACCATCCCGCAAGCCCAACAACAACGTTGGCAGATGCAGAGCGTGAACGCATTTGCGATTTCGCTACCTTGCAATCACGATATAGAGCATTCTAAGATGCAAAAAGACATCTTAAGTGTAAACAACCACTGACTTACGACAACAAAGCGAGTACCATTACTCTTGAAGTTCTTACGATCTATCAAAGAATAGAACGAGCTTAGCTCATAAGAAAGGCAAGAAACAAAAGCCGCATTAATTATCATCCTGCACTCGCTATAATGCAAGGTAAACATAATCATAGCGTGGATACAAACCATCCAATGCCATTACCGAAAGTCATGGATAACAACATCCGCAAATTCAACAAAAGTCATAAGCAAGAGCAAGAGATAAGCTAAGTCTGGAATAAACCAAAACGTAGAAAGCTGGGAAAAGAAAAATCACGCCGCCGGCATCTTCACGTCAGTCCTCGGGTCTTCGTCGTCACTCAGATTCTTCGGGCCATCGGTGGCAAGGACCTCGGAGTCGGCAGCGACATCGACGTCATTCGACCAGACGGCTCTGAGAGGGTGACGCCTCGGAGGAATGATGACATCGTGGCGATGAGTCCCCAAAATCAAGCCCTTGGTCCGAGTTTTCGGCGGGCTCTTCGGGTCATCGGTGTCGCGGTCCTCGTCGGCGCGAAGGACTTCGGTGACGCGAAAGACTTTGGTGACACAAGGTTCTTCGGATCCGACGCGGCTGTCATCATCCTCGCGGACTCCATCGGCACGAGGGACTTTGGTG